AAAATTAGTAGTTAATTTAAAGTTGATTTTTTAAAAAAAGAAAGATTATATCACTATGCTACAAGGCATATGAAGACAGTCAGCAGTTTTTTTATTCCGTATTTTTCAGTCTCTCTCCCTAGCCCCTAATGTAGAATTATTCATCAGATAAATTGAGATGACAATGATAGTGCATCCATTTCCTCATGGATATTTATAGAACAATTACAATGAATTAGGTAGTGAACTTAGGGCTACCAGGTATATAAATAGCCACAGTTCATTACTTCAAAGAGCCTGTCTCTAGGTGGGTGATATTCACATATCTTAATCTGGGTAATACGCAAGTGACATAAAGTAAGTATGAGCACAGTTCTGTGAGACTTAGGAAGAGGGAGGAACCACTTCTGTTTTCAGACATCTAATCAGGCTCCATGAAGTCTGACCGGACATCGAAGGGCTCAAGCTATTTTTCCAAATGGAAATTAAGAGGAGATATTTTGCATAGAGGGTCTGCCACAAGTGATGGAGTAGAAATGGGAGACTGAAAATCTTGTTTGGAGAGTGACTCCCAGTTTGGATTGTCAGTAATGCGACTAATAAGTGAGTGATCAGTTGAGAGGTAGATTTGAGTCAGTATGTGGAGATTTTGAATCCTTAACAAAGAAGGATGCACTTGTTCAGTAGCCTTTCAACAAGCTGGGAAGGCTGTGGCATTTGACTAGGGTACTGTTAAGATTAATTTGTTCCATAAGAAAATCAATCTGGTAACATCTCATAGGATGACTGGAGGAAGAAGACATTTATTTTCAAATGTCTCAATTAATCATCAGAAACTTGTCAATAGCAAATTACTCATTCCTTTCCATGTTTATAATGCTCATTACTATATTATTTCATCAAGTGAGTGTGCATTCAGAGTTGCACCAATGTTTGACGTGTTTGCTTGGGGAAGAGAAAGCAAGGAGGATCACGAACTTAAACTTCAGCAAGACTCTGTTTTTGTCCCATGTAGCTTTCTCC